TGGAAACAAAAAGAAATACACAGATGGAAATAAGCTACTTGGTAGGGAGTGCAAAACAGTAGCTGGAAAGAAGCCACAGAGAGTTCCTGCAAACATGAAAGAAGTCTCCACAGCTCAGCAGTAATGCCTAAGTTAATGTGGAAAGGCCACTTGCCTTGCTTTTAACACACATAATTTCATTTCAGTATTTCAGACATTTTTCCTAGGTTAGGCTTGAACATGAACTGCATTTAAAGACAATGACAAAGTATTGTTCAACATTTACAAGTATAATCAAAGTATTTAGTAGAGCTGACAAATACAAACATCAGGAATGTTTGATATTAAACTAAACTTGCTTTTAACAAGTACTATTCTTGTTAGATTATTAGAGTATTCCTTAAAATGCTACTTTTAAAAAGGTTCCTAGTCATAAGAATACATACTAGCAGATGGGCTAATGTGCAGTGATTGACATGAAAAATACAAAGTTGTAATTTACCCGTACAGTTATGTAATACTATGGTGTTATTATCTACATGAAGAAAAAATAAACTCTAAATAATGTTAGGAGACCAGTAAGATACAGGTCTAATTTTTAAGCAACTGTATCTGTTTTACACAGAATTATGTTAGCTCAGTAGGGGCTAAGAAATCAAAAAACTATCCTCTGCAAAGATGAGTTAGATTAGGTTAAGCCTTCTCCACAGTAATTTCTGATAAACTGTCTGCTCTCAGCAAAGGTTAAAATATCACATCTTAATTCCAGTATTCAATCCAAATAAGCTTCTGAACTGATGCATTAAAATAATCCTCATTTTTTTATTTGTACACATATATTTAAATAACAACAAAGACTTAAAATTATATTCATGAAGTTAATAACTAGAAATCTGATTCAAAGATACGGATTTAAAAAAAAAGTATTTTCCTGAGTACACAAAGATTTTCTAATTAGATTTGCCAGCACCACTAAACAAACATTCTAATTGTATTTATATATTATCTTTGATCTTCTGAAGGACTTTAAAAACATTATTTAAGAACATAGTTTTCAGATAAAACAATACAAAGGTAACCTTTTTCGGTGTTGAGATATTGGACTTCTCTGAACCGATACTGTGTTTAGAAGTGGGGCTGCTGGGAACACGTTGAGGATCCGGAAGAGGACGACCTTCTACTTCAGCTAAGATGCATTCTTGGTAAAAGGGGGATTTGAGAAAGCGAGTATAGCTATCAAACTTCATCAAGTTAAAGATCTGAAATTAAAATGCAATGGATAATGGTTACATAAGCTTAAATAACACATCAATAAAATGAAGCTATTTTGCAACCACCAACTCCCACAAAATGTAGGACATTAACATGTAAACAGCAGTAGGCATGACTTTGTTTAGCCCTGATTAAATACACTGCACCAATTTAAAGTTAAACATAATTTGGTCTATTCCCTTAGCACAGGTTCAGAAAAATGCTATGATTTGTGCAAAGTACATGCGAAGCTGAAATGCTGTAGAGTCCTGACGCCATCCTCATAGTCATCTTTTATGGCATTTATGCCTTTGTACATTCTACGTGAAGCACGTAGGCAAGCTAGCCATTTTAAATATTTTTTAAAGATTATTACATCAGTACTATATATGACAGGATTAAATTATACAAGTGTGCTTTAAGGTAGTTGTGAAGAAGAAAAGTTTATGGTCTAAATCTCGGGAATATGATGTAATCACAATATGCAACAGTATCACAGAATGGTTTGGTTGGCAGGGACCTTAAAGACCATCTAATTCCAACTCCCCGACCATGGGCAGGGACACCTTCCACTAGACCAGGTTGCTCAAAGCCCCATCCAGCCTGGCCTTGAACACTTCCAGGGATGGAGCATCCACAGCTTCTCTGGGCAACCTGTTCCAGTGCCTCACCACCCTCACAGTGAAGAATTTCTTCCTTATATCAAATATAAATCTGGCGTCTTCCAGTTTAAAGCCATTGCCCCTTGTCCTATCACTGCACGCCCTTGTAAAAAGCCTCTCCCCAGTTTTCTTGTAGGCCCCTTTAGGTACTGGCAGGCTGCTCTAAGGTCTCCCTGGAGCCTTCTCTTCTCCAGGCTGAACAACCCCAACTCTCTCAGCCTATCTTCATAGGAGAGGTGCTCCAGCCCTCTGATCATCTTTGCGGACCTCCTCTGGACTTGATCCAACAGGTCCATGTCCTTCTTGTGCCCCTTCTGGGGCCCCAGAGCTGAAGGCAGTACTGCAGGTGGGGTTTCACCAGAGCAGAGCAGAGGGGGAGAATCCCCTCCCTCCACCTGCTGTTCAAACTGCTTTTGATGCAGCTCAGGATATGGTTGGCTTCCCGGGCTGCAGGCGCACATCACAGGCTCATGTTGAGCTTCTCGTCAACCAGCACCCTCAAGTCCTTCTGTTCAGGGCTGCTCTCAAATCTGTTCTCTGCCCAGACTGTATTTGTGCTTGGGATTGCCCCAACCCAGGTACAGGATCCTTGCACTTGGCCTTGTTGAACTTCATGAGGTTTGCATGGGCCCACCTCTTAAGCCTGTCAAGATCCCTCTGGATGGCATCTCTTCCCTCCAGCGTGTCGACCACACCACACAGTTCGATGTTGCCGGCAAACTTGCTGAGGGTGCACTCAATCCCACTGTCCATGTCGCCAATAAAGATGTTAAACAGGGCCAGTCCCAACACCGACCCCTGAGGAACACCACTCGTCACAGGTCTCCACTTGGACATCAAACTGTTGACCACAACTCTTTGAGTGCAACCATCCAGCCAGCTCCTTATCCACCGAGTGGTCCATCCATCAAATCCATGTGTCTCCAATTTAAAGACAACGATGTCAAATGCATTGCACAAGTCCAGGTAGATGACATCAGTTGCTCTTTCTTTATCCACCAGTGCTGTAACCCCATATGTATGCAATGATACAAGATACACAAGGTTAATTACTGATGCAGGGAGGAGCAAAGAGTCCTTTACAGGATTATGTAATGTTCGTGTTCCAATCATAGGAAAAAGATGATCATTATCTTTGGAAGATTCAATAATCAAGGTGCTGTAAAACCAAGATCTTGAAAAAGAACTGTGTACATAAAATGGCTGCTCTGGGTGAGACCAACATTTATCTTTAAGTACATAGGAAGGAAGCAGTTCTATACCAGGCCTGGAGCGAATGTCTGAGGTTAATTTAGCCAAAGCTGAATTTATGAAAATAAAGGAAGAAAAGTTCTTTCTTAAATGCTATAACAATGTTTGAATTTCTTGTTCCATTTTTGTAAACCTATAGTTCTAAGTGAATTCATACTTTCACCTTTATATCTTCTCCAGTGATTTGCTTGATCTGAAAAAACAGTATGAATGCCGCCTCCTTTGGACATGACAAACTTCCTACAAGCAAAGAACCGTATGCACCACCTAACTGGTTATAGCATTCCCAAGAGTCCATCACTAAGCCACAGTGGCCAGGTGCAGATGGAAATCGTTTTTCAGATTGTGCAGAGACACCCTTCTCAACAAGCATCAGCCTAAAGCTTTTCTGGCAAACAGCAAGATGCTGCAGTGCCAGAGAAACCTAATTCAAACTGAATGCTGACTTCCACATTCTTGCTTTCCCCCCATATATTTCCATACCCTCTTAGGTGCTACCTTAGGTTGTGTTTGTTGGGTCCTCTAACAAACTGTTTTCCACATTGTAAACTATGGGAAAAATACTTTTGTAAGGTTAATTTTGCCAGCTTAATATGCTGAAACAGCTCAGCACAAAGACTAATGTGTCCTCAATGAACTGTCAAAGAGGCAATCTGGTGTCAATGACTCTTCCCACTTAAAAAAAAACTGCTCACAAAGAGGAATATCTCTCTCATACTATGAAAGATCCAGTCCTCTGATCACAGGTACATTGGCAAATTTCAAAAAGTCAACTAGTTTCAGCACACATGTAGTCTTCAGGTCAAGGTTCAACAAATTATTCAGTGTACACAACTCTCATAGCTTGGAAATGTTTCTTGAGTTCTCTTGAACTCAAATAATAACACTGTGGTATATTGCCAAAATAGAGTAAAATACAGAGGAGCAATTACAAGATATCAAAATGCCTTAGTCTCACAGACTCATAGATGAACGCTGACACAAGGTTAGTTGTCAGCAAAAAATAGTAACTGCAGTCTGCACACATCAACACAGATGCAAACACCAAGCTAAATGAAAAATACAAAATACTTCACCTGTCCTTGAGGTTTTCAAGGAAATGAAATGTACAGAGGTTACACTCAACAAGTCACAATATTTTAAGCTAAATGCAATTTGTGTCCACAAAATATAAGACACTATTTTACAATGCAGTTAACCTTTAACACGTTAAATTTAATACATTTTCAGCATGAAAAACAAAGCTTTTCAGAGTTGTCTCCTGACACAGAATCTCACATTAAAAGATGATAAAATTGTTATTCCATGCTACGTAGTTCTCTGCAATATTTTTCTTTATTCTTCCTAAGAGACACAAAGAGAGTTACTGCAGACATGAAGTCTGCAGATTAAATATACTTAATACAGCAAAAACATTCCAATCTTTTAACTTTGCTGGACAGAGTGATGACAGCTTAACTACTTTAACTTGAGCTGATAATCATCTGCCCTGCTTCGTTGCTAGCCCACACTACTTCCCCAATTTCATACATTTAGCACTATTATCATATTAATTTACACATGTTAATGACTTCTGCTTATTGCAAAAATCTAGCAGATGCTATTTCTTGTTCTTAAAAATGAGAAAGAGAAATATAGCTTATAAAAGCAGAATTTGAACTTTACACGTAAACAAGGGTAGAAAAACTTACATCCATTTATGCAACTCTACAAGAAGTAAATGATATTTTATTCTTATTTTAGTATCTTCAAGTGACGTACACTGTCTTGCATCCAGAAACATTCAAAATACTTGTTCTTCTGTTCTAAGAAACAGTGAAATCCTAACTAGACATTTTGGCTACATCCACACTGTCATATTGCAACACCTTTAACAACAGGATCAAGGGCAAATTTGTCAGGCTATGGACAGAAAGCAACTTCCAGCAGCATTCCCAATAGGCAGAGCTTGAGAGCTAATGGCTTCAGCAGTGCCTTCCAAGGAACTTTCCCACACACACTTCTGCAACTCCACTGCAGCCTTACAGCAATTCCTTATTCCCCAGCATCATATAACGCCTGTCCAACAACGACCACAGATCAGCACCCTGGCACTCTATGTTCAGTGCTGAAATCTGAAAAATCTTACGAAAGACCACAAATGCAGAGCCTTCGCATTATTAATACGGTGTCACCACTGCGAGCTGAACTTTTAAAAGTCTGCGGGCATGTTGTGCTAACTACACACACCTACAGTTCTGTGTTCCTGAGGTCATATCACCCACCGGGACCACAAAAGTGATCCACTGCAGAACCACCACTTAGTGAAACCGAGATATTAAGGGCCATCAAGGCAGTTGATTACACAGTACCGACCTCAGCCAGGCAACACACCATTAGTACCTCAACTGGCACACATAGCTCCAAGGCCACTTATTTTGGCAGAATGAACTTTCATCTTTGCTTCATCTAATTTTTCAGTGGGAGGAACAGGCCTGACTGAGGGATCTCACAGGAGAACTACACAGGCATTGACAATTTGAGATAAGCAGGTCAGGTCCAGAGAGGCCACGTGGCTGGGATTAGACCCACAGCAGCACTTCACTTCAGCATTTTCACCCACCTTATGAGCCCTCCAACCTAGAGGACAGAGCATTTCCAAAGAAGGAAGAAAACCCGCACCAGCCCAGCCACCAGACTCCTAAGAACACCATCTGCTCCACCAAACAACCGGGAGAGGATGAAGAGGAATTCAGGCATGGGCACCACAAAGCCAAGATGAGGAACGCATGAAAAAATGTCTGGGAAGATCATGGCTGGTAATTCCCACAGAAGCTTCAGGCTTCTGTAGGTGCATGGTGGGTAGCTGTAATGCTAGAAGCTACCAGACCAGCAGTTAGATCTACCTTTCTATCTCCACTTCGCAGATGGAGGAAGACACTATACCCACCTCCTCAGATTGCCCCAAAAGCATGCGATCTGAGGTTGCACAGAGACTAAGATTGCGACCTGCTTCATTTATGTAGTTAAAGCTATATACTTGATTTCTAAATAACACGATCTCAAAATTTTTTCTACTAACAAATTGTTAAGGTGGGAGAGTTACCAAAGAGATTACTTAAAAGAAAAAAAGAAATTTAAATTCTACAGAAAATGTAAAGTGTATCCTGTTGTTACATAACTGTTCTGTTCTGAACATCAATAATTATTTAAAATACATCCACTTCAGAGGTCTTCAGATGCCAACAGTTTTAACAAGCTCTTTGTCTGACAGTTCTATTAAAGCATAAGGGAAGGACTCCTTTAATAACAACAGACATATTTTACAAACCACTTTAACCAAAATCAGACACTATTTGTGTACACAATTGTCCACTAAAGAAAAGAATAAGCAACCATGTGCAAAAACTACATGCAATGATGTTGCAACACATGGAGTTATTTACTTGCACTAAACCTTCATTTCAATAATATTTTTCAGATTATTTTGTAGTTAATGGCAATTTTCTGCACATACGCAAATGTACAGAAAAACAGTCAAGCAGCCTTCCATTATATCCTCTTTTTCTAGTCTGCTAACAGAATCTTTGTGATCTTTGAAGTCAATTTCTTTTTATACATAGTAAAATATACAGTATGTGAAACTACCTTTATAGATTTTAAAGTACTTCAAAGGAAAAGATAATAGACATAAATGTACAGCAGTCATGTTTTCTACGGTTACCTGAAGTTGCTGTTCCTTGAACATATCTGGATGTGGAGAATTGAGAATATCATCTGCCAACTGTGCCTGGCTATCAATATTAACTGGGGTTGTAGCTTTGCTACACAAGAATTTACTGAAGATCTCTCGAGCTCTGTAAGAAAGCTACAGAAAAGAAAAGCTAAATGTCTGTTTGCTTTAAAACCACATTTTTAGACAGGCATTTCTTACACTGGTACATTCCACCCAAAAATATACAGCCATTCCAGTTTCCTTAACATATAAGCATTTTTCATTTAACAGCTTTTGTTAGTTTTAGGCATATAAATAGGGTTATAAATATTCATCAAATATTTCTTAAGCTGTAAAAGTTGCCATAAAAATAAAAATTAAAATAATCAAACTATGAAAATAATAACAGTGAAGTACATCAAATGCTGTCTTACAAAGGAGAATAGATTTTTTAGATTTTAGACCTTTTACATAGCAGTTACTATTTAAATAAATCCTCTAAGCTTCAGTTTCTACAAGTTAGAAATAAGTAAATATATATATATGAATATTCACAGTCAAAAACATCCAGGCTCTATTTTTAACTGGTTTACTTTGAAACACCCACATTCTGGAGATAATGAAAAAAACACCAAACTGAGCTCAGAGCCCTTAACGGTGCTGTTCAGAAAATACATTGTTCAAAGACAGAAGAAACTGGGGAAAAAAAACTCAACAGTCCACAAAAGAGCAAAGAAGGACTTGGAAGATGAAACTGTTTCCACAGTGTTAATCTGACTAGATTTGGCTGTGGTGTAGGCAGAAGTGTTGCAAACTTACCCAAAATTCACCAGAAATGCCTGACCAATGTAGGACTCTCTTAAAAGGATGAGATGGAGATTCTTATAACTTGTGAGAAGACATGACTACACTTATGGCAGTAAATATATCTAAGTTAGTGATAAACACATTATCTTGGCTAGTAGAGGCAGTCTTGCTGAAAGAGCAGAATAGAGGGTAATTTTCAGTTCTTGTTGACACGTTAACTTGCTCTGCACTCCCTTGCACTGGGCTACTGCAGCTAGCCATTTTTCAACATCCAGTATGCTCATTCTTACAGAGCTACCTCAGCATTTCACTGCAGTCTAAATATACCCAACATCTTAAACTTGGGACAGTACTCTCAGAGGACTGAGAAAATTAGGCTGAGGCTCCAATCCTATTTTAGTGAAGTCACATTACAGAGACCTTGCACAGCTCAAATAATTTCAATAATCTTGAAGAAGAACAATTTTTGAAGAAGCAATACTATGTATTTGAAATACAGTATTGACTTACCTCTTTTTTATCATGTGCAGGTACATGGTTAAAATATTCACAGGCCTGCCAAAATAAAATATTTTCTTCACTAAATTCTTTCCGTAGAAATTCCTAGGGGAAAAATACACAAATAAATGTCTCAAAGAAAAGTAGTCGCTTGCCGTTTCAAACAACATATTTATAATGCTTGATAAGTTTGCGTAATGGTAACATTTCAATCACTTTCACAGTACAGTTTTCTTCTAAAGTAAAAATCAATGCATGTCCAATATACGCCTAGTGCTTCTCCTCTTTCTCATTTCTTTTTAAATGTATACAGTTGAGAAGAATCCATCAAGTTACAATCAAATATATTGCATGCACAAAGTTTGAAACTTCATGTTAAGTAGTGTATAAACTAGTGAATAAACTTCTAATAAAAAATTTAAATAATTTAAAGTGCATTTAAAAATTACAGTGTAAACCAGTCATCTTTAATTGCAGTTCTACTAGTATAATAGAGTAGGTGTTTATCAAGCAGTGCCCATAATCAATTCAGTATTCATTACAGTGTCTTTCTGCATCACATGGCAACTACAAAAATTCTATCACTGCTTGCTGGTGTCTTTACATAGATTCTCCTTGGAAAATACATTCCTAGAGGAAAAAAGAAAAAAACCCAGTACCACACACAATAATCAGGACATTTATATTATAGCATTTGAAAGTCCAAATGAAGACTGGGACCCCATTCAATTGGGAAATTGTATAACCACAAACTGTCCCTGATTCAAATCTGCAATTTTCAATATTGTCTCAGCATATGTTTCTTGAAAGCATTTTAACTATTGGGAGGGGGGAAGCTATAAAAAAAAAATTAATTTGGTCCTCTAAAAGAATTATCTAGGCACTCATGTAATTGGAACAATGCTTGTTTATACTTCAGGGCTTTAGGTATCAGTGTTTAATTGGAAATTTTATTTTAATCAGCCTACAAGTCACAACCTTCACTCAGGTGTCACACTGGTATCACTCAAGCTTCCTTAAAATACAAGTCAGTTTCAGAAAGTAGCGTAAGAGGAATCTTCACAGAAATACTTAAAATTTATCTTTATTTATGCTTTTAAGACTTACATAGAGTTTAGGGACTCCAGCTGTAAGAAAGCAATTGAGATAAACTACAATACAGGGAGTCTAAATCCACTAGCAAGCTCTCAATTTAAACTAAAAGTTCTTCAGGTACCTAACCTGAGACACCAAATGTATAAAAGACAATCCAGAGAGTAGTCAGGGGACATTTCTGCATTTTACATGTAATTACAAATTAAAAGAGAATCAAATTAGTGAGCAGGAACTGGAACCCCACTGCCTACTTCCCCCCTCAGTGCATTCACTACAAATCTACATTCAATCTCCTCCTTGCTTTTTTTCTGGCCACACGATGGGGGCACAGCTGGCTGTACAATTCAGCTTCATCAGGAAGACCAAGTGGTGCCCCAGTCGGAATATGACGTAGCCTAGTAGTTGTCACAGATGGCTGGGAAGTTGGAGATGTTGGTTTGAACCACTTGAGGAGGGAACTCGCAATCAGGTCTCTCATTTCCTGGATGCCTGCTCTAATCAGCAGACTATTATGCAAAATGTGAGTATTTGCAAAACATGCAAAATCTCTTCTTCTTAGAGAGTAATTCCTGTTCTGTGACAAAGCTGTCCTCAGGAAGAGCCTATGCATGCTGAATCCCAAATGCACCAAGATGCTTACTATGTAATCGTGAATTAAATGCTGATGTTTCAATGTTCTTGAATACTGGCAGAAATCTGTAACTGCAGTGTTATGATAGCTGTAAGCAAATCTAAGCAATGGCTCTGGATCTCTCCTGGGCCTCAAGAAAATGGTAATGCACACAATAAACTTCAACGTTCCCTAATTGTTCTTTAAAGTGGGTATTTCTTTACACAGGCACTTTTGAAATGTTTATAAAAATAATTTCTCATTAGAATAAAATGGGGGAGAAAAAAGTAAAACTTTTTCAATATCTGAGGTTGTCTTTTGCTGAAATGTAATGTAACTTTAACCTTTTAATCTGAAAATTTAAGAATGTAGCTAATGTCATTTTGTAAGTTTTTAGTATGTTTTGAACTTTCATAGTACTAAAAAACTGCTGCAGCAATTTCTTAAGTGTACATAACTAAGTTTACTGATGGCTTACAAGTAATTAGAAAAGGCAACTAAACTTTCAGTAGCACCCCCACAAACTACATAATTTTTCAGGTGGACTCCAACATCAGATGAGAATTGTCATTTTTCTTTCAGCCTGACGAAAAGCCTCAGTATCTAAGCAGAAATGCTAATAACTCTTAGGCTACTCTGCTAAGAAAAATGGAAAGACAGGGAACATAATATCTAGGATAAATAATTTTTGCTTTCATCTTCTCTGGTTCCTCAAACAGGTGTTCACTGTTAATGTTGTTTTTGGCTCCCCACACCAGTTAAGATGGAAGTCTGCTTATTAATCATTTTGGTATTTTAATACGTTTGTATCAGGTAAAGGAGTCTTCCTGAGTTACTGCAGATTCCAACAATCGACATCTCCTACACCATAGGTTTTTTATATTCTCTTTGTGAAAATTATTAGGACAGCACAAATTGTCTTTGTGTAGCATATTCAGAATCAGCAACATACTCTCAGTGCAACAATGCAAAAGTGTATACATCTCTATTTCCTTACGCATAAACTAGAGGTGATGCTATTTACAACTTCATAAACGTGCCATGAAGAAGCTTCATTTATGCTTTGCAAGTACTCAACACTATTCCTGCAAGCTGCAGCTTTAACCAGTGCTCTTAGCTACCTTAATTACTTCTAAAAAATATTTCTAACAACTTTTGCAGGAAGATAAGCCACTATATCACTGAAAAAATCTTCTACATGGCTTCCAACATTTCAGTAGGTAAATGTGAATAGATTACCAATTCTTCGGAAACTACTGAAACTACCACCTTTTTCTTGCACAAAGGCTACAGATGCAAATATAGCAAAAAGTAATTGTTTTACACAGTGGGGAAGCTTTCTAAAAGTTCAGCTACAAAGCAAAACACAGCCTCCATTTTTATCTGAAACTTTTGCTATCCAGAAATGCATGGCAATATGCGTATTACTATGAACTCTTATTCAACTGTAAACGAGTTTAAACTTAGACGCTCAGATAATGACTGTGTAAGAATGAACAGTAAGAATCTCTTGTCCTATGTAAGGATAGTGTCAAGAAAGAAAAAAGAATACAGGAAAATTACTGCAGCAGTATCAGGTATTTTGAAAGGCCTCTCACAGTCCCTGAAAACTTACCGAAAAATATTTAACACCAACAGGATCCTGAAGAAGACGCTCAAATGAAACAGCCCAGCTTGCAACTCTTCTCTCTCGAAGTCGTCGACAGCTCTGTACACTGGGAAGACTAGCATTGCTACTGAGGCTGTTTTCACTGATGCAGTCTTTTAAGTCAGTACTATTCAGCTCTGTTAAAAAAAAAAAAAAAAAATGAACAAATCTGTCAATAAAGTATCATTCACTTTTACTCTTCAGCATTGTTTACTTGATTTACCACACCTCCTGCTCAAGCTCACAGTAGTGCAGACTTCAAAATATCCCTCCTCATTTTTGTTAGGAGCACCTGCATAGAAAAAACAACCCCAAACATCTCTCAATTTTCTTCTGCTCCACTTCAAAGAAATTAAATTAGTGTCTTAAAAGCAATTCCCTGCCAGAAGCAAAAGAGGCAGGCACAAAAGGAAATATTTTTTCTTGACAAATTTTTCTGCTCACATTCCTCACCCCATGGACTGCAATCCTTCGTAAGATTATCCAAGGAAGGTAGAGCTTCAAGAACTCATTGTTCACCAGAAAGTGAGCAAAAACCTATTTGGAGATAGGAGATAGCAAAATTTCATATACTCTTAAATCAATAGACACAGGGACTCTGTGAAGTTTTTCATGGAAATGAAAGATTCCTGTGAAATACTGAAAAATTAGGAAAGGAGTCAACTGAGGAAAAGAATACTAAGGCAAATGAGCTAGTAATGGATGCCTTCCTCATCCATGGCAAGTAGAGGTATCAAATCAGAGATCCTCAATTTATCATGGTTTCTGATAAAAGCAGAGATTGTGACTCCCTTCCAGACTCAAGCCAACATAGTGCAATAATCTAGGGACCTGAAGCTGAGAAATGACAAGATTCCTTAGATTTTGAAAAAAACAGAAGTGCTCTTTGTATTCCGAAAAACAAATTAAGAAGAAGCCACAGAGAATTCAGGAAAACACAACCCTGTGTAGCAGCATAACTAATAATTTCAAGTATTAACCCCAGATCATCTTTGTTGCAGTTCAGTAAACACAATACACAAAAAAAAAATATCTTGTGAAGACACAACTAAATAAAGCCCTGAGCTACCCGGTCTGATCTCATAACAGGCCCTGCTTTGAGCAGGAAAGATCGCACTACAGAGATGCCAAACTGAATGAGATCCTGTGATGAAGGGATAAAAAAAAAAGGCAGACATTCAATTCTTTGAAAAATTAGCAGTAATAGATGTGATAAAATAATATTCTTAAATAAAACAGATTATCTCTTCAATAATTCTATGCCAAATGGAAAAGCAAATATACATCTCACTATAAATGTAAACTGATTGAGAAAACTGAATGCACAACCAGTAAGAAATGGCCTATTCTTCACAGGGACATTTTTATTGTTGTTTATTTTTCTTAGATAATCATCTGGACTAACTAAAGCAAGGAGTAATTTCACCAAAATTACTACTTTATAAGATCTCCAAAGGCGTCCTTTTCTGTTACATATATTTCAAAGCACTTCGCATTTCCAAATTCTGTTACAAAACACCACTGTTCCTCCCTGGAACTTTGGAAAAAAGGACCATTCAAATATAGTTACAGGCATAGGAAAAAGTTATAAAGACAGTTGTAAAGATAAGAAAAATTAAAAAAAAAAAATAGTCTGGAACTTCATTTTTAAATGTATTCTATAGCTCAGAAATATTTACTAAGATGTAACAGTTAAATACTACAAATTTCTGCAAGCAAAGCTATTATTTAAGACAAAAATGAGACAAAATAAAGCAAAGATACAGAATTAGATTAGGGAAGAATGAAAATGTAACTCTGTATTTTCAACAAGGACAATATTTAAGGACCATAATAACACATCAAGTATATAAATATTTCTCTTTGCCTAATCATCATATTAATCAAAGCTAATTATAAACACCCAGCAAATAACGCCAAATTTTCTTATAACAAATATTTATTCACTTTTTCCTTTAAGACATATGAAAGAGCATAGCTAAGTCAACTGTTAGCTTCATGAGAGAATACCTGTCACCACAGTGAAACTATTGTGAAAGAAGCTAATGTGAATGTGAAGAGAATCATATCTAAATTTATTATCTGAAGTATTTTCCTTTAACTCTGCAGGTGGATATGTTTTATTTTACAGTCCAGGATATATAAATAGACACCCACTTCTTGATAGATCTGGAACAGTTTCAGATACTGCCTCGCTCCTAGAGGGTTCAATCCCCAGCATTCTGCAGTGATGAATGATGAAAATTTCCTAGCTCCTTTCAGGCAAAATCAGAAAGGTAAACTCAACCCACATACCAAACTGTTTAAACCTACTTGGCTGACAGAAGGAAATTAGGGAGTAGCCACACAAAGTGCTCAACTCTCAATCCAGAAGTCACGATGCCTTAGGACTCAGATGGTATTGCAAAATGGTAGGCACAGCAGACATCAGCAGGACAGCTTCACCCTCCTCCCTCCAAGTGGTGGCTGTTTGATTTCCCTATGGCGGGCAGGAACACCAAACTGCAATTACAGTCTCAGAGTTTACAGGACTGGGTGACTGCTAACTACCTTTAATTGCTAGCAGCTGCTTGCTTTCTCCAGCTTGTCAGAGTTACATTTGCTCTAAACTACACTGGGTTCTCGTTCCTTTGATATGTTGCTGACTCTGGAGGTCCCATGAAAACAAATGAACCAAAAGAAGACTGCATTTTCAACAACTTTGAGAGCTACTGGCACAGGTCCTTCAATGTGTTAAAGCAGCATTAAGGGACTACTCATTCACAGTAAACTGTCTCTGTTCTGGTGGATTTTATTTAGCTAGTTCAGATTTTTTCAGAAAGAACTATTTGAGTTCACACTTAACCCTGACACTGCTTTGTTATCCCTTAAAGCAAAAAAGCAGTAAGTTTGCTTTTAAAATCTGTAGATTTCTGCTGGGGTACCTCTCAACTTGAAAACAATATGGAACAAGGTTGTTTCCCAGAAAAGGCTTTGTTATTTTCCTTTCTTTTACCACATAGATCAGCAGTTGCAATTCAAACACTTACAGCCTTGTGCAGGTATACCATTTAGAATCAGAGAAGATGAAAGGTCTGATGGGAAGAAAAAAAGCCTCACCAACTATAACACTAGTGCACAATTTATCCAAATCACACTTAAATGAAGACTACGTAAGTCGTAACTCCTGCTCCACTCCTCTCACAGAGGAATGTTTCCAATGTAAGACTTCAGTGTCAGGTTTCCTGACTCTCACAACTCATGCATTCCCAGGTACACACAGCCCACCTCGGAAAGCAGGAAATTTCCAACCAAGTCACATATTTTGTCTAATGAGCATTCTGTGATGATCGTTCTAGGAAATGCGGAGCCCTGATTCCCACCCTCAAATGTTCTAACCGCAAGGTTGTTGTGCAAAGTGGCCTCCTCCTTCTTGTTAAGTGTTTAAAAAAAGAAAACTAGCCATTTGGAATCTCAGGATGCCAGCGGAGTTTACTGTGGAAATCCCAACTCAAGTGCATGGAGAAGTTAGCAGTGTTCTGAAGTTTCCTAATGCCTGCCTTCCCATCTCCTTACTGCGTGGAAGCATCAACTCATCTTGCATTACCTGTAAAAGGAGGCTCCTTACTCAAGCATCCCAAATCCCAGGGACCTAAATTTATTTCCGTTCTGTTTGAGAGCCGCCATACCTAGCGAGGAAGTACTACTTTCTGTGCAAAATCATTTATCTTCTTCAAATACAGAATTGACGCAGAATGCTTTCTAAAAATCCTCAAAACCCAGTAGTTTACACTTTTTGTGTTTACATATTTTGTGGAGGGTCTTGGTTTTAATATTTATTACACAAAACCAGCATTATGTAAGAAAATGCAAGCATTTAATCAATTAAAATCTTTAAAGTATTCAGGATAAGATGGCTTTGAAAAGTTTTTATTTAAATCATATAAAGCAGTAAGTCTGAATACAGTTAATTAAGGGTATTTTTGTATGCATTCGTTTATAAAATCCATATACATTTCTCAACCTACAAATACTTTTTATTATTGTGAGAAGCTACACATATTCCTTATAATTATCAGAATGCATACATTCGTATAATTAAGATATTCCAGTTAATCACTAAATACATTACCTGGATAAAGCTGATAAGAACCACTGTGGTGCCACTTAATCAAATACTTCAAGCCATTCACTGAAAGCCATCCTTCTGAATCCATACCAAGTTCAGCTGTAACGTCCCGGAACCCATTGGGTGCAGATAAGGCTTGCGGTACAGCACATTGTTCCTCTGTAACTTTGGGATAAGGGAAGCTAACGCATTTCCCCCCAGCAATTCCTGGTAGCCTCTAACACCATTCTAAACAAATTGATTCTTTACCCTCATGGCTTCAAGCAGAGGAAAGCAATAGAATACTTCACACAAAGCATTATAAAATGCTACATAAATAATTTAAAGAAAAGACCTTTTGCCACTGCTGCTAAAGGAACTTGAATTATTTATGTTACAGTGGAACACAGCTACAGCAAGCATGCACTGCCAACGTAACCGACAAATAAGTCTTATACCTGTTGGAGGAAATAATCCATCTGTGTTTAGAGTGCAAGAAGTGTAAACAGTGTTTTGTTTTATTTTGGACTTCATTGCGGATTTTTTGCTCTGCCTTCTTTAGTTACTTTAAATAAAGTACAGTTTTACATTATTTATTATTGTAAACATCAGATTCCTTTGAAAAAAAAGTCTTTAAGAACATTTTTTCCTTATGAAAATTCTTTCAAAGTGATGAACACTAACAAGAAAAATCAGCAGAAACTACACAAAAGCAGCATCTTCGGAAAAAGACATGCACATAGTATCTGTTATGCTTAAGTATTTGGAAATAATAGACTTCAGCTTTGTGGAACTGATCTCTGTAGGGAATAGCAAGTAAGAATTGACTTAAGACATTCTCAATAGCTCAGATACCTCACCAGCTGTCTGTCTGGGAGATGAATGATGATGTACTTTATCTCCTTTGACCTTAAGGTTTTCCCTTTGTTAAGTGCCATCTAGGTATCAATAGCCAAAGTCAGGCATTAGCTGGGGACTATTGATCATCCCTGTGATGATTTAGATGGCACAGGGCTCAAACATGAGCCACCACCTACACGCTGTGTACGTGCTCTCACTATTCCTACAGTCAGTAGGAATGCACAGTTTCCGAGATGGGAAGTAGGAGAAATCTGCTAATTACAGGTCACTGTAGTAACGTAAAATTATTTCTGCTATTTCTAGAGCATAGGTGCTGCAGATTAACTGATCTATCTAACCGATCACTGCAGTGACCTCGCATCTAAGCGTCATTACAGTTTGCATTCTGATTGTCTGCAACTCATTAAGCAAATCAATTACAGTTAAAAGTTGCTACTGGTCGGCATCTCTGGAAACAACACTAATTCAAGTACCTATATCTTTTATATGTTACCTATCTTGCAAAGCCCAAGTACACAGTTTTAGCTGATGAGAACATCCCAGCCTTTCACAAGCTGAGTTACCATGTGGAATAAATGCAACAAGGAGTAGATAGTTTCTGGTGCCTGGCTCTAATGTAATAAAAACCATATGACATGAGGCTTCAATGACCTTAGAAAGAAAATGTACCGAGAGCTGTCATGCCTCCTATTATACTGAAGGGATGCATATAACCACATACTAAATACTTTTTACACATGGATTTCCCTTCCCAGACTAAAGCTTAACAACAGTATTTATAATATCCAGTTATATGTACACATACTAATATTAAGATTTATTATAGGAAGGGAAGTACGCACTGCTATAGTAATGTTACACTAGTGAAAATTTCTCTCACCTGGACATGCCCTAAAATGTGTAAATCTGTGGATCTATTAATGAATTAGTGAGATTGGTGAAGACTGGAAAAATTTCAGTGCTGTGACATATTCAAAAAAAATGAAAGCCTGAAAATGTAATTCAGACATGAATCAGAGCTTTTTACTCAATGCAGCTCTAAATGAAATGAATTGGGATTTTATTTAATTCCACTTTTTCTGGTTACACTCTCTCTGGTTCTTATTTTTCCAATCCACTTTCTAGGTATTTCAGCATCGATTCAATAGTACTCAGTATAGTTCAACTACTGCTTTTTACATGAATTCCACCCCCCATACCTTAAGTAGCATTTAACAATGAAGACAGAGTCCATGTTAAATCTTTGGCACTAGCTGAAAAAATAGGTCATACAACTCAGCAGAAAAATGCATCTAACATTGTTTGTTCTTCTCTGCAACCTCCATGGCTCTTAGATTTTATGACTTCACAAAACTGTATAGAATTAATTGTGAAAACACAATTACCTATGGAATTGGAAAGAAATACAAAAGTCATATTGGAAGAACCAAAAATAAGTCAGATCTTTACATTTTCACTGGAAGCATAAAAAGCTTTAAATTACTATCATATGAGTACTATCACAGGGGTCTCCAAGTTTGGATAGGTAACAGAAGTAAAATAATTTTCATTAACATGGAACAAGACCGTCGTGGAGACAAGACACGAGTACATTACATTTAAGCTAAAAAAGATCCATCAGATTTTTTGCCTCTCAGCACCTGGAACTTAATTCAACTACTTACACACAAAAAAAAAGCCTGTGCTTTGTCTTGATTTTTATACCAAACAGGTAATATCTGGGGGAAAAAATACATATTTTTTCCACAAAAACATAGGCTATATTTTAGAAGAAGAAAGCAGAATAGACACAATTATTTTCTGTTTTCTTCTTCTGTCAATTTGCAGAGAAGACAGATACAATATAGAGTCTATCTTCGCATCTAGACAGAAGTAATGTTACATCACTAGACTGTGTCAGCAGTAGAGAAGGACACCACCTGACAAAGTCAGCCAGCCATTAGAAAATGGCTCTGTCAAAAGGACCAAAACAGTAATGTTTCTCTCAACTGTAGTTTTAGTTTTGCAAGCAATCAGAAATTAGGACATGATGGAATTTTGTGAACAGTATTTCTGATTTTGCACTTACATGTGCATGTAATATGAAAAAATTATCGTTACCTTTCAAAATATTTCTTCAATTTCACTACACTAATTAGAGCAACACACTTCATCCCCTTTTTATTTAATAAATTTTTCTTGTACTGTTGTCAAAGAATAGCAAACGTAATAATATGTAAGAAAGCTTCTCTGCAGGATCAAGTGAATCAACTCCTGCCAAGCAAGACAAGTGAGAACAGCCATCTCTTGTATACCCTAAACTATACAAATTCCTTTATTCCATTAAGGAACCATACTTAAACTGTTTCAATTAATTTCAAAGGTTCAGAGAAATCATATTCTAATGTTTAACAAAGAGTGGATGTCCTTTAAAACATTAAAGTCATGTTAAAATCAAAACAGACAAGCTTAGGTGACATAAAGAGGAGTTTACTTAGAGGTACTCCAGAATCCAAAAGCTCCATGCTGGGATTTTACAAATACCAAATTACTTACCCCCTTCTCAAAATGCATTACACTGTAAAGAAATTTCAACCTCAACAGATGCACCAACACCACTTACAACTTGGGAGCTAGAGCATATCTCTTCAAAAGCAAGCAGGGTATGTAAAGGACAATAAAACAGGAAACAAGATTTTATCTACCATCCAATTATACGAAAGTCTACCAGCTCTGTCTCTTTATTATTATGAATGAAGAAACCTAGTTATAATAAAAACATGCATATATAGAGATATGTGCCACAAAAAATTATGCAAATGAATCACTGAAAGTATGTGAACATAATCCTGAAATATTTTCACTGGCACTGTTCCCAAAGAAGTCACAGAGTTCTGCACCACTTTGGACTCACATCTTTTAATATATCACTTTATTTACCACATATTAAGTTGCTTAATGTGGATAACGGATTCTTTTTCATTATAAAAGTAAAAACAAGCTTTAGCTTACCTCCATCAGAAACAGTTGCTGACTGCAATAAGAAAGAGAAAAATAAGTGTTATTTAAGTTTCATGGCAAGCATTAGAAATCTCTGAGCTTCATGTAATATTTGAAGTGTTAGCTACTTTTATCATCTTACTAACAACAGATAACATGAGAGAGGAAAACTAAAGATTACTTTCTCACAGGTGTTTCCTCCCCACCACGAAATTTACCCCAGGCCTTTAACCACTGTCCTGGAACTTGATCCCACTAATATTTACTGGACAAAGTACTTCCTGCTGTGAGTAGCTACACTACTTCCAACAATTCTTCTTAGATTAATAGAGTCAATCGGTTGGTATATGTGAGAAAGCAGATACCTTAAAACTGACCTGCAAAGACTTAAAATTAAAACAACACCTCATAGACTTTATTTTGCTGCAATATCTGGAGATATGTGGAATCAACATTAAAATTTGGTATTTTGTCAGTCAGATGACTCTGAAAACTTCCCCTGCTGATCACTTCTGACTTCCACAAAGCCAAAAGTATGTTAAGAGTGTTTCCAACAAGCTAGGTAAGAACTTGTCACCATCTCTACTAGCATTTGACATCAAACTTCCAAGGACAAAGAGTCTTCTAATGAAATGTTGAAGTTTATGTGTTTATCTACCCTAAACTTCTCACATTTGATCACAAATTACCTCAAGGCAGCTAACATTTCTGTAAAACCAAGTAGGTGACAATTTCCCAAACACGTACTCCAGTGCTTGCACCTTGACACTCTGGACTGGAAGGACAGCGGATTTTTAGATTCAAGTTGGTATTGATTTTTAATTATTTTTATTGATTTTTAATAATCAAAAATTATCATTATTTTAGTTTGGGCAAACTTTTCTTGGTCATTTAAAGTGTCCTTGAAACTTTAAGTACCTTTCCAAATAGTTAAAAAGAAACTCTCTTATTTTGCACTACTCTTTAAAAAGCTTGGAAAGAATGTCCTATAATAGCTACAATGTCTTCAAGACGGAAAACACACAGAAGAAAAAAGCCATATATATATACACAACTGAAAAGAAAAGCTCTCTCTCCATAGTTTTTCTGTATTTTCCAGCCTTGACAACAAACATTCCCTCTCCCCTTCAAAATCTTAAAAGAACTTTAGTAATCCTCCAAAGAGTAACATCATCTCCTTTCTTTCTCTTTTCTATTTCACTGCAGGATCTCTTACGGCTGTTAACACTATATGAAAACCATCACTTGTTATAAACTGTTGTGGCCTCACCATTCACATCACCATCAGAGGATCCGATCTAGTTTTTAATACAAGTATTCTGAAACTTTCAAAGTCTAAACTACTCTCTATTGACATCATTCCTCTGGTGCTAGTTCAGATAAACATGAATACATCTTTCATGGAAAAGATCAAAAAAAAAAAATTATGGCACTTCTTGTTTAACCACACAAAAATAAATGCTTCTGAATCTGTGAAGCATAATAATGTTATCAAAAGTGTATCCAGGCCTCTCACTTCTTTTAATAGCACTGTTTCAGGTATCAAAAAAGTACTTCTGTTTTGGGCACAGTTCTTCAGTGAGGCTTGGGACATCTTTTCTACTTCTGTTTTTCAAGAAAGTCTAGCATGCATATTATGCATTCAGAAGCTGTAACTTAATTCATGTCTGTAATTTAGGAAATTTAATTTACATTAGTGAAATCTGTTTCATAAATATGATTGCTTCTAGTTTCTTATTCACATACTGTACAGAACAGCTCATGAATAAACAATTTCAATGTCATTTCTCAAAGAATGAAGAAAAGGATGACTCAAAGTAATAGTATCAGTTTACACATTGGACAAAAACAAAATAAAAATACTTTCAAAAAATCTACATTCTAGGAATGGTCATTTACTTTGGCAGCTTGCATGAGTCTAAATTCAAACATCAAGTACAATTCTCCTTCGTGTTTTTGAAAGGTATCAAGTAAAATGAATAGGATTCTCATGATAGTAAAAAGAATATTTACACTACTTTTTTCAAAATCTGTGAACAATTGTAAAATATAGTTTTTAAAGAAAAATGGTGTGATTTCATAGAAAAGCTCAAACACTAAAGTAATAGTACCACTTAATTAAGTTCTATGGACACTGAGATACAGTTTTACCTCAATTCATTTACCATAGGATAATCAGTGGGCTTTCTACACACCATGGGTTAGTTTTGTGTGTTTATTTTAAATGCTTTGGCTAATGCATGTCATATTACATGTATCAACATCTTAAAATCTCTCCAAGCAAGGCCTTAGTAATTACTATGTCTAAACATTAAAAACAAAAAAAAAGTACCCATAGGAAGAAGAGAATTTCTTATCTAAATATCAACCACCTATTCCTATGCTATTAAGATATTTTAAATTTCCCTTTGGTTTTGATATATTCCTACTATATGGTGCGTTTTTCCATTACAGTGTCACTAAAACTACCCAGAATGTTCCCAGCATTATCAGTTTACTTCTGTAGATCACAGAATAAAATTTATTTTAAGAACATTTCTTTAAATTCTTCTATGTAACTGAACTAAATCCACTTAATTCAACAAAACCAGTTAGAAAATAAAGCTTGTAATTTTTGTGTAAGAATTCACAGTAATATGTTCAAAACATTTGTGAGTACTTCGAAATCTTAATATCAACCATGCGGTCCACATTTAGACAAAGCAGTTTCTCTTCTAAACTGTTCAGCTGAAACTTGTCTAGATTTGTCCAAAGGTATAAGTTGCAAGACCAGATTTTTTTTTTTAAATACTATGATGATCTCATTTTAAAAAATCACTATGTGTTGAGGGCTGTTTTTCATTCTTCAGCGCTCACGCTTACCAGCACTGGAGGCTCTTCAGGACAAAATTTGCTCTACTATACATATAAAGTTTGATTATTTGATGAAATTTAACACTTACCACACACATATTAAGAACTAGCTATTGAAAGACATATGTATTAAAAAGCTATAAAATGGAATAGCTCCTGTATGTAGCCATTTCTGAAAGATGAGGAAAGATAGGGTATGAACCCATGCCAGTTAGGGCTACTGTGAAAATTTAAAAAAAAGTATTTAAGTATTTCATTCTAAATGACAGGACATATATGTATTCCTTTGGTGAATGTACATATGAACTATCACCCAGAGATAAAATCTAATTGCATTCAACCCTCAAATCTTTCACAATCAGATAAGAACTGAAATTAGTTCTTCAAATTACCCTGACTTCCAAATTGGTTTAGGAAAAAGCTCATGGTATATGCCAAGTGTCTGATGGTAACAAATTGACAAAATTTAAAAAATAGATCTAGTTTAGGAAAACTAGAATGTCTTCCAGTATATCGCTTCATAGGAACTCTGCTTGCTCATCTAGCTGGATCAGCAGCCGAGGTACACAGACACACACACCCCCCACTCCACAAAGGTGAAGGATGCAACCCTCTTCCCTAGACTCCAGGACAGAATCTTAAACCCTGTGATCCAAGTGAGGAGCTCAGTGCCAGGGCCAGCAAGTTGAACACTGGCTTCCCAGTTATCATAGACCATAAAAGATGTTCTAGGTCTCTGTAAACTGGCAAATGCTTCAGCAGATACTAGATAGCATAAAGTTCTAATTAAGAGAAAACATGTAAAATTTCTCTTTGTATCATCTCTCCTTGCTAGGTGGAAAAACCAGAACAGTCCACGAGTTTTTTGATGCCATGTTCAGGATCCACTTGCAACAAGTCTAAAAGAGTATTAGCTGACCAGGGATTAACTACCAGGGATAAAACTACCTTGTGAGTACATACTTTTTTTTTTCCCCCAGAATAGAAATAGAGAACATATCATCTTGCACCAACAACACAGTACGAAGGGAGAGAGGGCATAAAGAAGAATAATTCATAAGGTTGAAACAGCCTATATCTTTTAGCTTTCATGGTCTACAACCTGCTAGATGTGTGTACCACTGCATGAAACTAGTCTGACAACATCTTTCAGTTTACAGAAACCCTTATCCAGAAAATCCACTTAGTTCCATTTAACGTGTTCCATTTTACATGGATCAGGTCCCAGGAAACTAACCAAGTACTGTCGAAGTCTGCCATAATACTATCACGCAGAGAACCCAAAAATACCCTACCCATATCCCAGACATTACATTAAGCAAATAAATCCATGTGTACAGACTACCCAGATAAACACAATACAAAAATGTCCTTTTTCTCCACCTCAAGATTTGTCATTCAAGTCAAAGTCATGCTCAAATACTTGAGTAGAACAAAGGGAACGATGGGGATACCAGGAGAGGTGACACACACTAGGAAATGTCAGGCCTTAGCAATAAAGTGGAGCAACATGAAATCATCTGTGCTAATAGAATGTGAGTGAGTGCCTTCCTGAGTGAAAAAAGACATATCTATTTCCAGCTCCTTCTGAGATGCAGAGGGATAAAAATCTATAAGGAGAGCGAAGACATATTCCTCTCTCCTACCCTAACAATGACAAAAATCACAGACTAAACAGAAACACCTATTTCTTTCCTGGGCACCCAGAAAGATTCAGAGAAAAAGGGACTTAAAATGACCTCTCTATATGTCCTTCCTAAAGTACACTTTCTTCCAATACAGACATCAACTTTTTGCTGCATCCAAAGAATTCTCTGCTGCCTTCAGAATCTGTTAGACTTACCTAGTACAATATTATACTTCACGCTATTATACCAAAGCCCCTCTAATTAAGCCTTCAGCTTGGAATAGCATACTTAGCTCCACCAACCTTCTAAATTGACTTTCTCATATGATTTCAATACACAAAATAAGTTTGGGAAACTTGTCATGTTCTTTAAGACATGAAGCACTGAAGATTTACAGACTGAATACAAATAGCCAACTTTCAAACATTCTGTCACTTAGCTCAGGGAAAGTATCACTCAAGTCGACTGCTTGCATCTAGCTTTGTTCAAACTCCTTACTAAATTACCTGAAGCAACTTCTCCTTCTCCTTTTGCCAAGGTATGAATTATGAGC